GGAGATACCAGAACAAGAGGAACTCATTGAGAAGATATGGGAAGTGGCAGAAATGGATATTCTATCATAAGTGTTAAGACTGTCCAATACAAAAGGCAACTGAACGATGGGATTTATTATATAAATGCATGGAGTCATCAGATAGTGCTTGAATAACATAGAATTAAACTAAGATGTAAAAGTAAGTTGAAACCTAGAGGGCAATCAAATTGTAGAAACGCAAAAAGTCTACTTGATATCACAACAGGAACAGATTGGATGACAGTACATTTTGTACATTTTCCCCCTCTTTTATTCCCCCATATCCCCCACTACCTTTTGTACTCCTTACCTTATCCATAGTTATTAAAAGTAAAAAAATACATTAAAAAGATGTTGTGTTTGCATAATCAGCATACAGACAGAGCCTGTAAATTCCTCTTAGTTTCAAAGCACTAAACAAAACCAAACTAATTTGTGATTTCCAAAAGCTGCAAAAGACATTGGAAGATAATTACACATCCTTTACTGCTTAAATTAGCCGCACTTCGAACTGCAAAGCTCCACTCAGCTATATTGGCCTTTAGACTTTTTTCTTTTCAGAATATGATATGAAGTTATGATTGCCAACACCAGTTTTAAAAAACTGATAAATCACCTTCCCTGATATGCGTGAACTAATTTATTTAATGAGGAAATAGAACTGTAAAGTATTTGTGACCTCCTGAAAGATTACACATGGCTGCCGTATTTTTAGTAACACTAGAACTGTGCAGACCACTTCTGACAACATCTGGGGATATATCAAACCACTCTCAGCTCACATGGCTAAGCAATTTTAATGGGAAAAGACATTATTAACATCAACACTTGAGATACCCAACAGGGGCATTCAGAACTTACTGGGAGGAAGGGCACAGATTTATGTGGTAATTGTGTATTTGAAATTGAGTTTCTCTGAAAACTCCTTAGAGGCATCACAATCTACCGTTGCATAATGTAGATCACTGTTATAAATTCTTAACGTGTGTGCAAGTCCATTCCATGCTGCTGCCAAAGGCAATCTTAATGCGTCCCATAGAACATTATTAAGACATGAATAGATCATGAAGAGGCTACCCATTTTAAAGCTACTCAAACAAACAGATAAACAGCCTTCTGGGCTTATGTGCTTATCACGAAACCATAAATTCCAGTTAACTATTGCACATGAGTTCTAAATGAATTGTTAGCATGGATCATTATCAGTACAATCCTATATCTGTTTCTTCAGAAGTAAAACCCACTGGGGCTTCTACACTGTTCAGATAAGTGTTTGTAGGATTTCAAATTTTAACATTGAGAAGGCTGATATAATAATA